TTGCGCGCAAGTGACTTTGGTCGCGACACATTGGCCTGGCTGACGGCCAACACATGTTTGGCAACCTGTTCGGCCGACAGGGCCTGGGTGTTCGAGAGCTTCTTTGCTGGGAGTGTTTGCTGCAGCTCTTGCAGAAGCGCGCCATGGTTTCCAATGCGCGGGCTGTTCGGGAAACATGTGTTTGCAGAATCCGGCTCAGCAAGTGGCTTGGCGGCAGTCCCAGCTGAGATAACGACTGCTAGCGTCCTGCGAGGTGGTGTAAGACCTCACCGAAAGTCCGTTTGGGTATTGTCTTTGGAGGACTAGGCGTTGCTTCGACAGCAACATGAGAGGATGAAGGCCCCACTTCCTGGGTTACCCGCTGCCCACGCAAGCAGAAGCCAAAGAAACTCAAAACAAAGGCCGGCCTGCAGACCACAGGAGAGGAACTAGAATTCGTCCGCGCAAGGCAGGCGTGAACACGGACCCCGAAAGTGCCCCCCTGCAGCGCTCATCGCTGGCAACACTTGGCGGACAGGCGCGCGCCACGAAGACCAACCAAATACGAGACACACACACGCGCACGTTACCGCGTTACTCGGCACCGAGTAACTAAAACTAAGTCTGCGCCGAAGGCGCGGAGAAATAAGGTGAGCCTGGGAACCCAAAAGCAAGTCCACAAAGTGCCCCCCACTGATGGCTCCGAAAAGTGGCGCTCGAAGATCTTTGTTCCGATCTTGGATCGCAAGCCTCGCACTTAAAAACCTGCCGGCCACCGGTCGCAGCCCAGGCTCCCATCGCGGAAAACTTCGACTACACGAGAACCCATCGCATCAGAGATGCTTTTGGGAAAAAAAAGCAGGCACGTCCGCGCCGAAGGCGCGGAGGAAAAAAAACAGCACTGACAAGGGACTGGCTGGCAGGGACTACGCCAAGTCTCATTGAAACATGTAACATACCGCTTTGAAACAGCCTGCTTCAAGCGCGCGGGCCAACATGCTGGAGCTAGCAAATTCCAATAAGAAACCTGCTGGGAGCTACAAAAAGCTACAGAAAGCTATAGAAAGCTAACAGACCACTAACAAAAGCTAAAAAAGGCTAACGCAGCAACTGTGCAGCAAAAAAAATCCAACAAGGCTTTCAAGAGCATGAACTGGCAACAAAAAGAAAATGCCTCATTATGAGGCAGTCCACCCTTTACCCCGCGCCATGTTTGGAAGAACGTTCACTTGGGCGGCTGGGTGGCTGGGTCGCTTGCCTCCGTCCCCAAGATACGTTCAGTTGCTTGCGCGTTGAACGCGCGAACGGCAAGATCACGACGGAGCCGGGCCTCTTACAAAGCACCTATGGAGACACCGCAGAACAATCCCTAGTCTGCGCTGGCCCCTGAACTGCTCGCCTGGCCATTTCTGCAAACATGTTACTGCTTCTCAGCTAAAACGCTCATGGCGCGCGATGGGTTTTGTGTCACATTTCACGCATTAAGGCAGCCCAGCGTGACAAAAGTGTTTGCAGCCTCCCCCCCCCCCCCAAAACCTGCTGAAGTTTACAAAGAGGCAACAAATGGCGCCAAAAGCTACGAAAAGCTAACAAACTCTAACAAAAGCTAACAAATGCTAAAAAAATGCTAACAAATGTGGCAGCCTTTGCTGCCGGACTGGCGCTTTTCAGTAAGGCGGATTTTTTGGCAGCCTTTGCTGCCGGACTGGCGCTTTTCAGTAAGGCGGATTTTTTGGCAGCCTTTGCTGCCGGACTGGCGCTTTTCCGTAAGGCGGATTTTTTTGGCAGCCTTTGCTGCCGGACTGGCGCTTTTCGGTAAGGCGGATTTTTTGGGCAGCCTTTGCTGCCGGACTGGCGCTTTTCCGTAAGGCGGATTTTTTGGGCAGCCTTTGCTGCCGGACTGGCGCTTTTCAGCAAGGCGGATTTTTTGGCAGCTTTTGCTGCCGGACTGGCGCTTTTCCGTGAGGCGGATTTTTTGGCAGCCTTTGCTGCCGGACTGGCGCTGTTTCCGTAAGGCGGATTTTTTGGGCAGCCTTTGCTGCCGGACTGGCGCTTTTGCGTAAGGCGGATTTTTTGGGCAGCCTTTGCTGCCGGACTGGCGCTTTTCCGTAAGGCGGATTTTTTGGGCAGCCTTTGCTGCCGGGCAGCCTTTGCTGCCGGACTGGCGCTGTTTCCGTAAGGCGGATTTTTTGGGCAGCCTTTGCTGCCGGACTGGCGCTTTTCCGTAAGGCGGATTTTTTGGGCAAGCCTTTGCTTGACGGACTGCCGGCATTTCGTAAGGCGCATTTTTTGGGCAGCCTTTGCAGCCGGGCACCTTTGCTGCCGGATGGCGTTTTTCAGCAGGCGGTTTTTTGGCGCCTTTGTAAGTAACAGCTTGCCTTTGCAGCTTTCATTTCTTAAAATTTTTTTTCAAAAAATTCTAAATAGGTTGCCCTTTTCTAAGAATATCCCTTTCTTATTTCATTCCCTTCCTCCCCCTATCCCAATCTACATATCCACCCCCCCCCCCCCCCCCCCCCCCCCCCCCCCCCCACCCCCCCCCCCTATTACAACCCAATTAAATCTTAACCCAAACAAAAAAAACACCAATAAGTTTTGAACGGGGCCTTTTTTTCTGCTTGACAAGGTTGCTCGGTTGCTCTCTGAAATTTTCGCAATGTACAGAAATTCGCCTGAGACCAGTCCGCGCAAAGCTGGGCCAAGGTCCCCAAAAATCCGGAGCAATGAAAACTAACCCTGCACCAAGGCTTTCTGAAACCCGAGGCAGTTAAAAAACTAGCCCCTCGGGGGCTGTGTCTGTTAATCACACTTTCACCAACAATCCCAGGGCCTTCACCAACAGGATTATCGCAGGAATAGATCCGGGGCCTACAAAATCCATTACCAATCCGGACCACAGGGGCCGCAGCCGCAACGCAACCCAAGATCGGCTTGCTTCTTCCAGCTTGGTTGGACAAAGCGCGGCAGCGCTCACTTGAGCCAAAAGCGAAAAACCAACCAAAACAGGCGGGCGACCATACTCCCCCCGAAAATTTGGCAACCCAAAGAATTTGATTTCTCGTAAGGTGCTGAAGGAGTCGTTCAATCCAATCTGTGGCTTTATGGTCAAGGCTAGGACGGTATCTGCTTCTTTCGACCCCCTACCTTTCGTTCTTGATCAATGAAAACATCCTTGGCAGATGTTTTCGCAGAAGTCCGCCTTTAACAAATCCAAGAACGTCACAGTGAAATACGAATGCCCCCAACTATCCCTCTCGATCATTACCTCAACACTAGAAACCAACAAAAGGGAACTGAGGTCCTATCTGGTTATTCCTGCACGTCTGCTTCCGTGCAGGCAAGACTTGGCTCGATTTCTGGAAACAACCGTCTTTCCTGCGAGAAGAAAACACACTGTGCCACCAGTCAATGGTGCAATCTTCAAGCGTGCGCAGGCTTCATCTTCATGATGGGCATCCAAGTCTGAGTCTTGTCCGTCTCTTTGCAGGCAACAACACGCTTGCTGGAAAAAATGTACCTAAGGTAAAACCTTAAACGCCGTGCCACACAATGAAGCGCTGGCACGATCTCCAGTAAGATGTCAAAGCAGAGCCAGATGTGCCCTAGCCAAAAATCAAATTGCCTCGATGGCCTAACTTTCGTTCTTGATCAATGAAAACATGCTTGGCAAACGCCTTTGCGGCAGCCCGTCTTCAACAAATCCAAGACTTTCACCTCTGACAAACAAAACCAGTGAGGGTAAAAGGTTTACGCCGCTGCGCGCACACACATGCATGCGCCCACGCGCGCGCGCGCATGTTCCGCGTAAGCAACAAAACAAGCGAGGGTAACTGGTTTACGCCGCTGCGCGCGCACACACGCATGCGCCCACGCGCGCGCACACACGCTCGCAGCCACGCGCGCGCGCACGTTCCGCGCAAGCAACAAAACAAGTGAGGGTAACCGGTTTCCGCCGCTGCGCGCGCACACGTGCATGCGCCCACGCGCACGCCAGACGTTCGCAGCCACGCGCGCGCGCGCGCACGCGCCCGCGTAAGCAACAAAACAAGTGAAGGTAACGGGTTTACGCCGCTGCGCGCGCACACACGCTCGCAGCCACACGCGCGCGCACGCGCCCGCGCAAGCACGAACACACTTGCACAGCGACGCCAAGCAAGAGGCACTGTGTAGGCCAGAAGCCTTGCTACTTAGCCCTTACTTAGCCCTTAACCAGGGCTCTCTCATGCACCTGGGACCAAAGCAGTTGAAACAACGCCAACACGCGCGGGAAGCCTGCGCGCGTCAATGGCAAAAGCATTGAAAGCAACGCCGATATGCGCGCGGGAAGTCCGTGAGCGCTACTGACTGCCACCCTATCACAACTGTCGCAAGGACGTCAACTCCGACGTGTCAACTGCGGGAGCTCCAACACCCTTTCAGCCAGCAAGCAGAACCACCTGCACACGCCCGCGCAATGCACCCGAGGACATCTGGCCGGACAAAGACCTAAACAAAAAGCACGCCTTTTGCGCGGCGTGTAACATGCTCCGGCAATGGGCTTACGTCTTTGCAGCCAATGCCAACCGGGAATCCTTGCGTTGCAACACTATTGCAAATCACGGCGGGCGTGCAGAGGGCTCACCTCCACCCAACCGCTGCCTTTGACGGCTCGCGAAACGACGGGGGGCGTCCTTGGAGGCGGGTACGGCGGGGTCCACGGCTCAGGCGTTCGTGGAGCAGGCAGCATCTCCACATGGGAAGGCACCAAGGGCTGGCTCGGCTGGTTGCCTTCTTCCGGTCCCGGGAACTCCTCCGCCGGTGCCGGTGAAGAAGCAACGGCCGGCTCGAGCCGGGGGCGAACTCGTCGATCTTGGAAAGGTTCGGAGCCATCGCCTTTAAGCTCCTCGGCGGGATTCGACTCGTCTAGCTGCACTGGCTGAGGCCGAACCGCTGCACCGGATGGCTGCAACTGCGATGAACGCGGGTCAGCAGACTGCGCGGCCAGCAACGGCTGGGTCGTGGCCCCTGAAAGTTCTTCTTCTTCAAGCGGGCACCCTGCAGATGGCCGATTCCAGCGCTGCAGTCTCTGCCTCGATGTCCGGGGCCTTCTCTGCATAGGCAGCGTGCTTCTCATCCACCCAGTCTGAGTAGCAACGCACGCAGCGGTAGCACATCTTCATTTGCGAATCCTTCATTGAAGACGGAATGCTGCATTTCAGATGCCACCGCAAGGCAAACCGATTGTGAAAGGCATCCTTCTCGGCAACATTGGGGCGACCGTTCGCATCTAGCGGCACAACGCGCTCCTGGCACGTGATGAGAAAAGGCGGCGGCTCGGAAATGACCACCGACGCCGAGCCCTTGCAAGCAGCTACCACAGCTTCGCCCTCCAGAAGCAAGAGCAGGGTGTCCCAGGCCACCGGGCAGGAATTTTGCCTGCGCAACACAGATTCACAGTCGCGGCGGCGTTCGTCCGCTCACAACTGGCCCCCCAACGGCCCTCCCTTTAAAGCTAGCAGCCACCTCTAAAAACAAAGCCCCTGGCCTCCAATCCTGCCAGCAGCTGATCAGCTTGTCCTGCAACGACTCTAAGGGGAACGTGTCGCCCTTGTTAGGACGCATCCAGCAGCGGTGAGAAAACATAGCCATCAACGGCCTTGTGAGGGCAGTCTTCCCCGCATTGGAAGCCCCGCAAAGCAAGATGTTGCAATTCTTGGCCGCTGTCCCAATGCGGATAAGCCGTTTGACGAAGTAGCCAAACCTCTCACCATCCTTCTCGTGCAGCTCCATCAAGGCATCCAGGCCAGACCTCAAGCGGCCTGGCGTTGTGCAAGAACAGGGCGCCTGCCTTGAAGCCAATCGCTCCTCCCGTTGCGACTTTTGGCTCACAGGCTTAGCCATGAGCTGCTTCCATGCCTTGAAGAGCCCAGACATCTTGCCACCTTGCCTGGTCATAAACTCCAAGTATTGAGGCACCCCGTGCTTCTGCTGGGACTGCGCCCAGACAATGAGGTCGTTGTAGGTCTCGATGCTCGGGTGTCTTCGCAAGACTTGGAAAAAATCCCATGGCCTCAGAACTTGTGTTCTGGCAAGCTTCCCGCGGAGCCGCTTCTCCATGTCAATAATGGGGAAGTTTGAGCTCAGCAAGGGATCGGGATCAAGTTCTGGCAAGGGCTTCCTGGCAGAAGGCACATAGCAATACGCTACAATGCGCCAGATATCTGCATACCTGGTCGGCAAGGACAATTGCCCGAAGATGCCCCTGGCGCACCTTGCAGGCAATCTGAATCCACCGGACACGGCCCTTCAGCTTCAAGACCACATGGTAGTGAGCCTTGCGCTCCCAGCTTCGTGAGGATTCGTGCAGTTCCCGGAAAACAGCGTAGAATTTTAAAGTTTCGCCGTAGACTTCTCGAAAATGCCGCAGCATGCCCTTCTTGGATGTGTTTTCTGCAGTCAAACGGCTCTCGATGGCTGAGTACGGGATCGTCCAGAAATGGACTGTGTGGCCTCGGTAGCTCAGGTCTGGCTTTGCTGCCGACATGTTCGCAAATCGGTCGCAGCCGTCATCGCCACTGCTAGCACCTTCCTCCAAATCCAAGACTTCCTCCTCGGCGGGATGCTCGGGCACTTCTGAAGATGCCAGGGAATCAGAACTTGTGGAGCTACTGCTGCTGCTGCTTCTAGTGAAGGAGCCACTGCTGCCGCTCATTGCGCACAAGGGCACTGGGCTGCGGCCAGTCACCCTTCCCCGTGCCCCAACCTAACTGGGCTGCAGCCAGTCACCCTTCCCCGTGCCCCAACCTAACAATGATCTGAGCCGGAATCCACAATCCAACGTCACGACGCAACTTCCACCGTCACATCAATGATGCAGAATGATGCAGAATCTCTTTGCGCGCGCGTAAGAGGCCTAAGCACACTGCCAGCCCCGCCACAAGTCCAGCCCATAAACGCAAGACATCGTAACATCCTTGCAGGGGTGACATCCTCGCAGAGGGCTCCCAGCCAGGCGCTTTCCACGGCGCTTCCTCTGGAAAAGGGCCTTGCAAAGACTTGGCCCCGGACACGCGCACGCACCGGCAGGCAGAGGAAAGCGCACAGGCTGCGCCTACTTTCCCACCCTGGACCGTGGCCGCCGAACCTCTATCTGACCGGCCACACGCTCCTCACCTCCACATCATTGTCTTGGTGGGGGGAAGGGGGGGAAGGGGGAGGGGAGCTGCGGTGGCCCCTGTGGAAGGACGGTCAGCTTGAGCGCGGAGCTCCGCTACCACAGAGCACAAGCTCAATAACAACGCCGACACGCGCGTGGGAAGTCCAGCCCGCGCGGGTCAATGGCAACAACATCGAAAACAACGCCGACGCACGCACGGGAACCTCGTGACTGCCACCCTGTCAAAGCTCCCGTGTGCCACATTCTGACCCGTTTGGGGGAAGGGAGCTGCATTGGCCTGTGGAAGGACCGTCAGCTCGAGCGCGAAGCTCCGCTACCACAGAACATAAGCCCAAAAACAACGCCAACCCCGTGAGCACCGCTGACTGCCACCCTATCACAGCTGTTGCAAGCCACATTCTGTGAGCCCAAGCAGATCCGACCGTTCCGGACGGACAAACACACACACACGCTAAGGAACAAGGCCATGCCCAAGCCTCACACACACACACTCTCTCTCTCTCTCTCTCTCTCTCTCTCTCTCTCTCTCTCTCTCTCTCTCTCTCTCTCTCTCTCTCTCTCTCTCTCTCTCTGGGAAACGCACGAACACAGAAGAAGGGGAAAAAGGGGAAGGGGGCGTCAGGGCTTCCTTTCAAAACTGCGCACATGGCTCACACTGCAAATATTCTGTCAAACATGCGTCGCCTGCTCCACACAAACAATCGGACAGTTGCAGCTCACACGCGCCTCACACCGCCAAAACGCCAAAACGTGCAAGAAAATGGCTTCAAAGCAAAGGCTTGAACAAGTTTGGCCACGCCCAAGCACATTCACTTCATCATGCACACAGGCACGCAATTAAGCGCTGCGCAAACACACCCACGCGAGCAAGAACCCTGCACGCGGTCAAGAAACCAAACATGCCATGTCTGCTCATGCCACGCACTGTGAAAACGCCAAAGCATGGTTGACTGACATCCGTCTGACCACGCTTACTCAAACAAATGCCACGCGCCAACTTCTTTTTCAACTTTACAGCGCCGCATCGCCGTTGCACTTTCTGGCAACGCCAGCAGCAGCCACAAGAGGAAAACAAGCGCAAAGCTCAGAGAGCCACTTGGTCTTCATCTCCAGGCATTCAGCACACGTGAAAATCACACAGCCACAATTGGTCTTGATCTCCAGGCATTCGGCATAGGCGAAACTCACACAGGCTTCTTGGTTTTAATCTCCAGGCATTCGCGCATCTCCGACTCTGTCAAGCGCCCAAGGGCCTTCTTAATTTTGGCCAGGCGTTTCGCTTCCTTGCGGACTTGCTTGGCAACTTGCCGCTCGGCTGCGAGCATCGAACGCTTCTCTTTCAGCTTTTGCAAGACTGATTGAGTGGCAGAAGCTGTGGCAGACGCTGATGCTGGAGCTTTCTCCTTCAACTTCTCCTTCTCCTCTGGCAACTTTTCCTGGCTTGATGTAAAGGCAGGAGCCGCAGGAGGCGCTGGAGCGTTGGATCCTTCCATGGGCTGTGTCCTGCAGGCTGAGCAGGTTTCTGAGCTTCACGCTGCAAGCAGCACATCGCAATCACCTTGCTTGCCAAAGTTGCTTCACAATCTGCACGCAACAGGCCTGCAGCCCAAACATAAGCTGGATTCATTTTACCCCCGGCGGCGCTGCGTTGCCGTTGCGCTTTCTGGCAACGCCGGCAGCAGCCACAGCGACAGCCCCAACAGGAAAACAAGCGTGAAACGCAGCCTTCCTGGTCTTGATCCCCAGGCATTCGCGCAACTCCGACTACACGTCCAACGCTCAAACGGTTGCGTGATCTTGGCCTGGCATCCCTTTTCTTTCCTCTGGCAACTTACAAGCAAAAGCCATGTGCGCGGTAAAGCGGACCCGAAATCGGTCCCCGAGAATGGCCCTGTTTCGCAGACACACGCTAGATCCTCCACTGCCATTTGCGCAGCTGCTGTTGAGTAGCAGCGTAGGAGCGTGACTACCCCGGCGTGTTGGCCGAATTCTAGCAGTTGTGCAACCTCGCATAGCAAGCGCCTTGCAGTATTACAGCCCCTGGGCTCAGCCGGTTGCAGGTCCCAGCTGAGTCGCTTTCTGACTGCCACAGCCATACTGCAGGACACTGCTTGTTTGCAGCGGCCAAGCACGATCTGAGTCCTTTCAGAAAATCAGAGCTGCGTTCAACATGGGACTTGGTCAACATGAGGAGAAATGGCCTGGCTTCCTTGACCCGTCCCTGCATTGGCCAAGCTTTCCAGGGTCTCATTCTCCGCTCCGTGGCCTGCCCATGCAACCAAACGCCAGCCGGCCCTCCAAGACCATTTTGCGCCGCCATTGGCGCCGCTGTTCAACAGTGACAAGAATCAGCTGGGCCGCAAGATGTTGAGTAGCAGAGTAGGAGCATGACCCATCAACCTTTTAAGCCGACAGGCGCCGGTGTTAGACAGCTTTTTTGCTGGGAGTGTTTGCTGCATCTAATGCAAAAGCGAGGGCACAATATAGCGCCATTTGAGGCTTCGTGGCTTACTTTCAGCCGTGCGGGTGTAAGCCGGGAGCAGGTTGCCTGTTGCCCCGCGCAACAGGCAAATTGACAGGCGGCAGTTTCACTCGGGTGTTCAGAAGCAGGTATTGCGGCAGCCTGCGCGCAACGCAGGCCATTTCTGTGCACTCAAAAGGGCCACGGCGTTGGCAGGCATCAGTTGCTGCGTTTGGCAAGCATTTCGTTCAAGACGACGCTGGCCTTGCGTGGTGAGAAGATCATCTTTGGCATGCCCGAGTTTCAGTGTCAGCCGAGGCTGGGCTTGCTTCCAGCCGTTTGTGGCTGGTGGTGCAAGCCAGGAGCAGGTTGGTGCCAGACATGCGTTCTCAGGCCACTTGCCGCTTTTGGCGAGCTTGCGTGGTCAGATGGGCACGTCCCAGTTCCAGTAAGACCTAGCCATCAACCTTTTAAGCCGACGGGGGCCTGGGTGCCAGAGAGCTTCTTTGAGTGTTCGCTGCAGCAAATGCAAAAGCGACGGCAGAATCTAGCGTCATTCGAGGGTTCTTCCAGCCGTGTGGGTGTAAGCCGGGAGCAGGTTGCTTGTTGCCCCGCGCAACAGGCAAATTGACAGGCGGCAGTTTCACTCGGGTGATCAGAAGCAGGTATTGCGGCAGCCTGCGCGCAGCTCAGGCCATTTCTGTGCACTCAAGGGCCACGGCGTTGCTAGGCGCTACCTGCTGCGTTTGGCACGCATTTCGCTCAACACGACACTGGCCTTGCGTGGTGAAGATCATCTTTGGCACGCCCGAGTTTCAGTGTCAGCCGAGGCTGGGCTTGCTTCTAGCCGTTTGTAGCCGGTGGTGCGAGCCGGGAGCAGGTTTGTTGTTGCCCAGAGCAGCAACAGCGCAGCAGGCCATTTCTGTCCATTCTAAAGGGTGAGGGCGCTGCCAGACATGCGTTCTCAGGCCACTTGCCGCGTTTGGCAAGCACACCATTCAACAGGACACTGGCCTTGCGTGGTCAGTCGGGCATTTTTCGCACGTCCCAGCTTCATTAAGACGAACCAGCTTCGTATTTGACAACGTTGCCTTTCTGCACAGTTTCCAAGCCTTTGGCTCTGTGTGAAAAACTGAGATACCGCCCTTTAATATCAAGATGAACGTGAGTGCGCTAGGTTGATACTGGCTGGGCTGCAAGACGTTACAGTGGCAGTTCTCACACACCACATTTCCCCAGATTGCCTCCGCAATTTGTGTGCAGATGAGGCAAGCAGCAGAGGACCAGCTCTCCTTTGAGTTTGTTGCAGCTGGAAACAAGCTGGTGAGCGAGACTGCGTGCAGGTTCAAAGGCTCGATGAGTGACGCCTGGCTTTGGCTGCCTTGGCTTGTGCCCAGAAAGCAGAGATGGGAGCCGCGACTGTTTGTTTCTTTTATTGCGCAGCGGAATAGGGTGGAAAGGCATCAATCAAGCTATGCC